CCGAAACCGTAGAAACGAATAGAAGAAACATCTCAGAAGTGAAGAAAGATGGAAAACATGAAGAAAACCATGAAAACCCATGAGGAAACCAAGAAAAAAAGAGAATAAAAGAAAACTAATGAAAACCAAGAAAGGAACTAAAAATGAAGAAAATAGGAAAGAAAGAAAAGGGAAATAAAACGGAGAAAGGAACAAAAAGAAAAATGAAGAAAAGAATAAAGAAAGAAAAAACCAGTAATAACCAAGAAGCCAATGAAATTCGACACAAAAGAAAGAAAAATGAAGAAACTCAATAAAAACCAAAGAAAACATAACAAACGAAAAACCAAAAAAATCAATGGAAAAGAATGATACCGAGCAAGGAACAAAGAAACTAAGAAAAGCGTAAAAACTAGAAACAACGAAAAACAAAAAAACCTGTGAAAACTGAGAAAGAAACAAAGAAAACCAATGAAATTAAAAAGGCAAAAGAACTGAAAAACCAAAGAAAACCGAACAAAGAAATAAAAAAACAAAAGAGAATAAAAAAGATCCGAACCAGTGGTCACGTAATAAGATGTCCTGGCAAGAGAAGCTACCATCTTGCTATAAGCAAGGCCCATATATTTTTTCTTGAAGCGGAATAGCCCACAAAGGGCCGGAAGGCCATATGTTGGTCGAAGCGCTGGCAGCCCAGAGTCATAGGACCGGAAAACAAAAACCAACTGTTTCCAGGCAAGGGTATGGCTCAGTGGGGGTGTTTTGTAGGGATTAAGATGGAGCTTTCTTGGGGGTTTCAGCTTTTTGTTTCAGGAACATCGTGGACCCTTCGACCCTCGAAACTCAGCCGTTAGAGAAGCTCTTGCGTTGGCGGAGGATTTATATCTAAGATGTATTCAAGTTGCGTCGGACTGCAAGCTCGTGGTGAAAGACATACACAAGGAGAACCTGGCTAGTTACGGTGCTATTGTACATTGTAAAAATGCATGCTCTAGCCAATGCAACCAAAAAACTGATCTGATGGAAGAGACTAAACATCACATCATACGTCACACTCCCCCTCACGTGATGGAGCACAGACTAGCGAGATGCCAATTTGTGCATGTAGATGCCCGATCTTTCACGGTGATGCTTGATCAACAGTTCGTCCCCCTGTTCCTCCTTGCAACCTTCAAGGTAATTTTCACCCGCGTACGAAAATACACGAATAAAAATAATGACTCCCTTGGATCAGCACGTAGGCGTCGATGTGATGATCAACCCTCCGTCGCTAGTAAATTTTCACAATGAAAAAATCACAGATAATACATAAGATATGACCGTCCGTAACTCAGACGTTTTTCTGTATATCTCATACTTAAAAGAAAACTCAAAAACTGATCTCTACATTGGCCCTGGGCGGCCCTTTTTATAGGCGGCGCGAACTTGAAAAAGACTAGGCCAAACTAAATTGAAACAGACTCTCCTAACAAACTAAGGATTTAACTAATTAATTATTCGGCCACATTGATCGCCTTAATTAAACTAGACTCAAAACATGTACGTAAATAGTACAACTTGACTCTCACGTCTGCTCCGTACAAGCAAAATTACAAGTCTTGGTGAAACTCACGTGGCCTAACACAAAAATAAAATAACTTGATTAAATAAAAGACGGAGACTTATCCTTTGGCAGATCCTATCAATTGCATGTCTATAGTTTAAACAGAAAACTGCCGATCCTTATTATCTTCGGAGGCGTACGAAACGTTGGAATTATATCTTCTGGCTTCGGTTCCTGTTTAGCATCCGATCTGGATCTTTTGTTGTACATTCTGCTAGGTATTGATACAAGCACTGTATGATGAGAATCAACATGCATCAATTTCTTTTCAAATACAGGATTAATTTTTAGTCCACAAAACTGTCGCACACAACCATCGTTTCCTCGGCATAATCTAATCGCATGCTTGGCATTATTTTCCGCAACTTTTTCATGCCTTGACTCATCAAATGGCTCAGCTTTAGTAGAATTATCGATCAATGGTGCCTTGCCTGCATCATCCTCCCTTCCTTGAAGAGAAACCGTCCTCGGTTTTAAGTCTATTTTTTGTACAATCTTCCTCTCCGGAACTTGCATCTCTATGATAATTGCACTGTCTGCCATTGGTTTCAACATGTGCTTCTTTCCATCATGCATGAACGTGTATGTGTTGGATCTTCCAGCATGGACTGATCATGATCAAACTGCCATGGTCTTTCCAACAACAGCTGACACGTATCCATCGGCACAACATCACAGTCCACCTTATCAATATAATCCCCACCTGCAAACTTTACACGTACCTTATGTGTGATCTTTAATTTTCCGAAGTTGTATAGCCACTCTACGTGGTGCGGTTGTGGGTGTCGCCACATGGACAAACCCAATGCCCGCACAAGATCTTTGCCAATGACATTTGTAAAGCTACCACCATCAATTATCAACTTGCAAGCACGATTGTTGATCTTACACTGTGTTTTAAAAACACTCCATCGCTGCCCTTTAGGATCATCATCCTCCTGCACCTTCTTCACTAAGAGATTTAGACCCTTCATCGGTGCATCAACTTCTTTTTTTATTTCTTCTACCTCTTCTCTTTTTTTTTTCGCAAACGATTTTTTCAATCAGCATCGAACACATCCATTGGCATGGGAATAAAACAAATTTGTTTGCCCTTCCGTGATAAAGAATAACTATTTTTGTTCACATCCCGAACAGCCCCAACATGCTTGCACCATGGGTTCCCAAGTAGCAGATGGCACGACACCATGGACACAGGACAAACATGAAAAAATTCCGCACAACAATATTCTTCCAGATCAAAAGTTAGCAAAATCTGATGCGTAATTTTGATTTCACCTTTGAACCACTTGAGCGTGTACGGTCTTTCAAGAGGCGCCATCTTCAGCCCCAATTTTTTCACCACCTCGATGCTCACCATATTGACTGTGGTACTCTCATCTATTGTCAGATTGACACGTCGTTCGTTCACGACGCAACGAGTGTGAAAAAGAATGGCCTCGCCGATGCCTTCCTCCTCCATCAATATGTTCTTGCTCAACATGTTGATGCTCGCCTCTGCAGATTGAATCGCCGTGACACTAACCTTTGCTCTGAATACCACTTGATGGAGCACAGACTAGCGAGATGCTAATTTGTGCGTGTAGATGCCCGATCTTTCACGGCGATGCTTGATCAACAGTTCGTCCCCCTGTTCCTCCTCGCAACCTTCAAGATAATTTTCACCCGCGTACGAAAATACACGAATAAAAATAATGACCCCCTTGGATCAGCACGTAGGCGTCGATGTGATGATCAACCCTCCGTCGCTAGTAAATTTCCACGATGGAAAAATCACAGATAATACACAAGATATGGCCACCCGTAACTCGGATGTTTTTCTATATATCTCATACTCAAAAAAAAAAACTCAAAAACTGATCTCTACATCGGCCCTGGCCGGCCCTTTTTATAGGCGACGCGAACTTGGAAAAGACTAGGCCAAACTAAATTGAAACGGACTCTCCTAACAAACTAAGGATTTAACTAATTAATTATCCGGCCACATTGATCACCTTAATTAACCTAGACTCAAAACATGTACGTAAATAGTACAACTTGACTCTCACGTCTGCCCCATACAAGCAAAATTACAGGTCTTGGTGAAACTCACGTGGCCTAACACAAAAATAAAATGACTTGATTAAATAAAAGACGAAGACTTATCCCTTGGCAGATCCTATCAATTGCATGCCTGTAGTTTAAACAAAAAAACTGCCGATCCTTATTATCTTCGGAGGCGTACGAAATGTTGGAATTATATCTTCTGGCTTTGGTTCCTGTTTAGCATCCGATCTAGACCTTTTGTTGTACATTCTGCTAGGTATTGATACAAGCACTGTATGATGAGAATCAACATGCATTCATTCCTTTTCAAATACATGAGCAATTTTTGGTCCACAAAACTGTCGCACACGACCATCGTTTCCTCGGCATAATCTGGTCGCATGCTTGGCATTATTTTCCGCAACTTTTTCATGCCTTGACTCATCAAATGGCTCAGCTTTAGTAGAATTATCGATCAATGGTGCCTTGCCCGCATCATCACGTGTGGCTTTCTCAGACCTAAACGTGGACCGAAAGTGGGCTGCAATTTAATTGCGTCAGCCGGGTCTTGAACTCATGACCTCTTGGCTCTGATACCATGTAGAAGTGCATGCTTTAGCCAATGCAATTAAAAGACTGATCTGATGGAAGAGACTAAACAACACATTATACGTCAACATACATGAAATAATAGAACACTCTTTGGGTTTCGATTTTTGCAATTTTAGTCATGAGTTTAGGAGCTCTAATTATGAGGCTCACAACTTAGCGAAGCATGCTCTTTTTCTCGGTGGTGGCCGTCATGTTTGGTTAGGACATTCCGAAAATCTATCATCTGTCCCTGTAAACATTGTGACGAATTAATAAAGCTTCGCGACGTTGTCAAAAAAATAAATAAATGTCTATCCCTCAGAAAAAAAATGTCTCGTTTTCGCACAAAAAAAAGAAGACGCAGGGGAGAACTAGTTGCTGGTTTGGTGAGTGGCTAGAACTTGGGAGCTGATTGGCTGGAATAGGATAATGAGATATCTCGTGGAACATGGGACCGAAATGTTCCCCGAGATTTGGCCTTTTCGATCTCTCAAACCGAAACCAAAAGAGAGCTGGAGCGCGCGCGTGTGTAGAGATGCGGTCGCTCACCTCAGTCATGGCTTGATGATGCCTTGATCAATTCCATTTTGCATTCGAATATGCTCGCCTCGTGTGGTGCGTTCGAATATGCCTGTGCGTCAAACGCCAAGTGGGAACCACTGACTTCCGTCCACTCCCTTCTCCAGCTCCTGCTCTTCTTTGTTCGCCTCGCGCGAGTGAGCGAGTAGCCTCAATCGATTTGATTCAACCAAAGCAAAGGAATACCGGAAGGGGATTAAATTGCCGCAAGGACGAGGCAAGGATGGCGAGGGCGGCGCCCATCCTCGCCGTGTCCAAGCCGTCTCCTCTCCCTCTAATCGCCCCGTCGTCACGCCCCCGGGCTGGGTGGTCCCTTCACCTGCATCGCCGCCGCCTCCTCCCACTCTCGTCGTCGTCGTCATGCAGCACCAGCGCCAGCGCCTCTTCCTCCCCCCCCTCGTCGCCGGTCTTGCTGCGGGACGACGAGCTGGAGCACCAGGAGGAGCCCCCGCCCGCTTCGGAGGCCGACTCGCGGCCCCGCCGCATCGCGCTCTTCGTCGAGCCCTCCCCCTTCGCCTACGTCTCCGGCTACAAGAACCGCTTCCAGAACTTCATCAAGTACCTCCGCGAGATGGGCGACGAGGTCATCGTCATCACCACCCACGAGGGCGTGCCCGACGAGTTCCACGGCGCCAAGCTCATCGGGTCCTGGAGCTTCCCTTGCCCCTGGTATCAGAAGGTCCCGCTCTCGCTCGCCCTCAGCCCCAGAATCATTGGAGAGGTCGCTAGGTTCAAGCCCGACATTATCCACGCCTCTTCCCCTGGAATCATGGTATGCTACTAACCAATCTCCTTTCTGTATTTCGACAATAAGAGTATTATTCAGCATTGGAGATTTCATATTTTACCTTGACCAAGTGAATTAAATTCACAGGTATTCGGCGCCCTAATCATCGCAAAGTTGCTATGCGTCCCTCTAGTGATGTCCTACCACACCCATGTTCCAATGTGAGTTGACTTGCCTTCCTCTTTCACAAATTTACAACTCATGCACGCCCGTTTCGAAAACAGAAGGAGAAAAAAAAGTTTTATGCGAGCAACAGAACTACAACTTGAACGAAACTGAAAAAATATCTTGTCTTACCTTGGCCAACACAACTAGACCATTTAATTAATCGTCAGCTCCTAGCAGGAAAACACCATCCACGGTGTTATCTGCATTCTGAATGATATCTACTCCCTCTGTAAAGAAATATAGGAGTGTTTAGATCACTACTTTAGTGATCTAAACGCTCTTATATTTCTTTACGGAGGGAGTATAATCCTAGGATTTGTGGGTTTATTTACCCAGCTTTAGAGGCGAGCTGATCCTTGTTTATCTATGGCAGTTATATTCCAAGGTATACATTCAGCTGGCTTGTCAAGCCCATGTGGCTAGTTATAAGTAAGTTTTCACTTATGTACTGCACAAATGTATAACCTCTCTTGCCAGAGTAGCCAGCTGATACAATCTTCGCATGCTATAGAATTCTTGCACCGAGCTGCGGATCTCACACTGGTACCATCAGTCGCTATTGGCAGGGACCTTCAAGCTGCCCGTGTTACAGCAGGTTTGCACAAACATACATACTGCTTCCATGTTATTACTTCTTTCCAGGTTCCAACATCTTCCTCTCATGGTGCATGTTTCCAGCCAATAAGATACGCCTTTGGAACAAGGGTGTGGATTCAGAAAGCTTCCATCCTCGTTTCCGTAATCAGGAAATGAGGTCAAGGTTAACGTAAGTAATCTACTTTGCTCAGCTGGTCCATTTGTGATGCAGTTTCAATGATGCTAATGGGTTCTTGCCTGATCCAGTGTGTCGAGAAAACTGCATAATGAATCGATTTGATCAGATATATCTTTCATGTGACTAACTGTGTTGCTTGTATGCTTCTTCTATTATGACAGGAATGGTGAACCAGACAAGCCACTGATAATCTATGTTGAACGCTTAGGAGTTGAGAAAAGCTTGGATTTTCATAAGCGGTGAGCTCATGACGTTTCTGATTTTTAATGCTGCAGTGCAAACTGAATGGCGTGTGTGATAGAAACCTTACCTACTGCTCGTGTCCCCTTATTGTTACCATAAAGTTTTGTTGACATAATTTAGTTTTGATCTTTTTATCTAGCTAAGGCATATCTTGTGTTGACATTGGGTTGTACTTTTTCCAGAGTCATGGACCGACTTCCAGGATCAAGAATTGCATTCATTGGAGATGGCCCATTCAGGTGTGCATCGTTATATCATAGAAACTAGTTAACTTCTTCCTTCAGTAGAAAAGGCAACAATGGAGTTGATTTAACTGTTGAAATTTGCTCATTGCTGATTTATTCTCCAAAGAGACTCTCGCATATTGTCATGAAATTTGCTTCTTCTTTTATGTAATGAGAGACTGAAATCCTCTTGTAAGAAGAGTACACACTGTTGCCATTCTTAACATGTGCCTTCCACTGCAGGCCTGAACTTGAAGAGATGTTTTCAGGAATGCCTGCAGTGTTCACAGGGACATTGCAAGGGGAAGAACTGTCACAGGCCTATGCCAGTGGGGATGTGTTTGTGATGCCTTCTGAGTCCGAGACGCTGGGTTTTGTTGTGTTGGAGGCAATGTCATCCGGAGTCCCGGTGGTCGCTGCTCGAGCTGGAGGCATACCTGACATTATACCTGAGGATCAGGAAGGAAAGACCAGCTTTCTGTACACACCGGGTGATGTGGATGACTGTGTTGGGAAGGTTGAACTCCTGCTCTCCTGTGAAGAGTTGAGAGAGACAATGGGGAAGGCCGCCAGGAAGGAGATGGAGAAATTCGGCTGGAAGGCGGCGACGAGGAAGATTCGGAACGAGCAGTACAGCGCCGCAATTTGGTTCTGGCGCAAGAAGAGATCGCAGCTGCTGAGACCTCTCCAGTGGGTGTTCCGGAGGCTCTTCAGGCCCGCTCCTGCTCCTGCTCCTGCCCCCGCCATAACAAATCAGTCATAGGAGATTCGTTGTATTCAAGTCCTAGAATCAATCAACCATTCTGTTGAGTCCATCAGTTTGGCCAACCCGAAAGATAGAAAGAATCATGGGACACCTAATGTGAATATGTAATGCTCAATTAAATTGCAGCCAACAGAAGTAACTCCAGTTTGCTCCGGTGGCAGGTTGTAAATGTTATATACTGCTTGCTATTCATCAACTTGGCCAAAGAAAACTCTAGATCGAAAAGCATTACATAGCTATAACAATCACACATAATAAATTTCAGAATATAACTCAATTACTTTCAATGAATAATCTAATAATAAACCCACAATTCATCGGAACTGAACAAACACACCGCAAAACAAGATTACATTGAATAGAACTCTGAGGAGAATATTGTATTGAAGATTAGAGAGAGAGAGAGAGGGCTATCTAGCTAATCACTATGGACCCGTGGGTCCCGTGGGAACTACTCACACATCATCGGAGGTGCAACAAGGTTGATGTAGAAGCCTTTCGTGATCGATTCCCCCTACAACAGAGTACCGACAGAGGCCTCCAGATGGGATCGTGGAAGAACAGAGGTTTGTGGCGGCGGAATAATTGTTTCGAGTCTCGCTCTCGTGGTTTCTAGATTTTAGGGACTTTGTAGGCTTGGAATTAGGTCAAACGGAGTTGCGAGGGGTCTACAAGCTCAGACAACACGCCCTCAGGGTGCGCCGTGTGAGCTTGTGCTCCTCTTGTGCATCGTCTGGTCTCCCCTCGAAGCTTCTGGGGTCTCTTCTGGTCCAGCAAAAATCACTATAAAGTTTCATCGCATTTGGATTTCGTTTGATATTAGTTTTTCTGCGAAATAGTAAAATAGGCAAAAACAGAAACTGGCACTGGGCACTGGGTTAATAGGTTAGTTCCCAAAAAAAATAGAAAATTGGATATGAAGCAAAAATGATTGATAATATAATAGCATGAAATAATAAAAAAAATTAAAGGTGCTTTCGAGAGGAGCACAAGTTCACACGACACATGATATAAAGCATAAAGGATTGATAATATAATAGCTTAATTCATGCTCATCCTCCAGTAAGTGAATGATAAAAACAGAATTTTTGATGTTGAATGCTACCTAGCATGTTTATCATGTAATCTTCTCACGGTATGAATAGTAGGACACGAATGATTCAGGGCAATAGTCTATCATTTGAAATAAAGACATTAATACTCAGACATACCAGCAAACAATCAAATAAAGAATGCTAAAGAACGTATCCCTACAAAATCATATAGCTTAGTCTTCCTAGCACAAAATATTAATCATGAACTACCCGTTGACAAGCCGAGTAATCAAATCATACTTTTTCTCGCCTCGGCTTTTTCAACTTTCACACAATACTTGAGTGTGTGTTAAGGTCTTGGCACTTTGGATGACAAAGAGAATGATGATGGGGGTTCATAAGGGAAGATAAAAATAGCGAAAGTCTCACACCGACGCGGTTGATCGTTAGGGAATGGAGAGGCCTTACAATCGATGTCAATGTGAGGAGTAGGGATTGCCAAGCAACAAATACACTAGAGTTATAAGTGTATGAAAGCTCACTACAGAAACTAAGTGGGTGTGCATCCAACTTGCTTGCTCATGTAGACCTTGGGCATTTGAGGGAGCTCGTTATCGGAATATACAAGCCAAGTTCTATAATGTAAAAATTCACACTAGTATATGAAAGTGACAAATCATGGAGACTCTCTATATGAAGAACATTGTTGAGGATATCACTACTGGGCGTAAACCGGCCTATCTGGGCCGGGTTAACTTCTTCAGTAGTTAACTATGTTGAAACCCAAGAAGGCAGATGAGGGCTCAAGGCCCATAGTCGGTTCAAGGCCTGTAGCCGTAAATTGGTGTTGGTATGTAACTTGTATTGTAAGTTAGGAATAAGTAGAGACCAAACCGGACACATCTATGAGCCGGTATTGGGAATCTATGAACCGACGGGCGTCACCCGTGTATATAAGGGGACGACCCGGCGGCGGTTCAGAAGGGAGACAAGAACTCGAGACATAGGAGAAGCTTGTTTGCTCCCTAGTCATCGAAACCCCATCAATCCCATCACAACTAGACGTAGGCTTTTACCTTCATCGGAGGGGCCGAACTAGTATAAACTCTCTTGCGTCCCTGTGTCCGCTTTAACCCCTTCAAGCTAACCCGTCGCGATGGCTCCACGACTAAGTCCTTTCTCTAGGACATCTGCCGTGACAAAACCACGACAGTTGGCGCCCACCGTGGGGCTATCGCATGATGGTTTCAAGTTCTTGGAGGGCCGCTTTGAAGGATTCGAGGGCTACGCTGTGGGCCGGATGACTAAGAGTCGTCGCGGCAAGCTCTACATCGATGATGCAGGCTGCGGCCCCGAGGCCGGCTCAGTTGAGTATGGGTACCGGGTCCCCTTTGGTGGCATACACGTTTTCATCGGCAAGATCGATGAACCGGGCCCTGAGCCGGACATCTGCACCGACCTCGTCGAAACGACTCAGTGTGCGCGGTCCGCCCGGGTTAAACCGGCCGTGAAGCGTGCCTTCGTGGGAGTCATCCATGGAGGAAGTTACGAGGATGGATCGGAATCTCGCGGCGAGACCGTCGTTTATTCCGGCGACGAGTCATCAACCGGAGAAACCGAATCTCTATATCAGCTACAAGATGGCCGGATTGGGGGCTGTTCCGACGGCGACAATATTCCGGACCCCTCTGATCTACCCAACCGAGTTAGAATATTCATGGCCGGCACACAAGCAGCGGTGGCAGCTGCCGGGGCAGGAAGCTCCGCACGCCCGCCGGCTCAAGTTCTATCAGATCTATTTGATGCATTGGCTGTGCTTATGGCAGAAGCTAATCCGGCGGATCAGGAAGTCCACAACGCGGAGATTGCAAAGGTGAAGGAACAGATCACCCAGGCTAAGGCGAACCTGGCAGCTGAGAATGCCAGGATGACCACAGAGCGGGCCGCTTTAGATGCACAGGCCTACAGGCTCATGTTGGACCAGAACGCGTCGCATGAAGTCATGAAGAGGAAGTACCGATCCCGCTTGCCTTCAGTTTTCGAGGCCAGAGACCTTTTCAACACCCCAGGAGCAGGAACCAGTAATCCGCTGGAGGGAAACTAGCCGGAAGCTCCGGGGGCCGGTGCGCCGGTTCAGCCCCGTCTGATGAATCCGCCTCGTCAAAACACTGTTATATCTCAGGCTGTTTCAACACCTCCAGGTCACTACTCCAACCCAATGGACAATCTCGTTGCCGCTGCTGCACGGCTGGAGGCCATTCCAATTGAAGGTGACTCGCTGCAGGCGGTAGAGACACGATGGGTCAAAGAGCTTCTTAGGACAGCTTTGGTCCAACAGGAAGCATACTCGTACAGTCGCGACCGGATCCACTCGACCCCTCGTCCAAGCCGGAGCTATAGCAGGCGTATGGATGAACCAGCAATATCAAGTAATGAATGACATGGAGCACCCCGCGGCAACAACCCGGCGGGTGGTGCTGATAACGCTCAGGAAGTGGTGGACCGGGCCCGAGCGCGCAGGGAGCCGAGTTAGTCGCACAGTATCAGGCTCGGCAGCTTACACCGGTTCGTCCAACTATTTCGGTCGAACCCGGTGTTACTTCTAGCTCTTTGGGGGTGCCTTGCCTTGTCCCCGCTTTACGCAATGTGCACCTGCCCAAGGATTTCAAGGGCCCGCGCAAGGTCCCAAATTACACGGCGGATCAACCCCCAGAGACATGGGTGGAGAGCTATGAGATGGCCATGGAGATGCTTGATGTGGATGATGTGGCATGTGCGAAGTACTTCACCATGATGCTTGAAGGAACGGCCCGCACTTGGTTAAAAAGCTTACCGGCCAACTCTATCAGTTCATGGGCCCAATTACGAGCCTGGTTTATCAGTAATTTCAAGGATACATGTAAGTAGCCTATGTCGATAGTGGACTTAGCCGTCTGTGTCCAGGAGGAAGGAGAATCGACGACTCATTGGGTGCACCGGGTCTCACAAGTGTTGCATTCATCAGACCGCGGCAACGCTGACATTGCAGTCTTAACCCTAGAAGGCAACTGCCGGTTTGGGCCCCTAAAACTGAAGTTGGGACGGATGAAGCGCCATTGCACTGACATGGGGACCCTCATGGCGGCTTTGGTAAAGTATGCTAATTCTGATAGTACCAAGGATCCCGAATCTGATGATGACAAGGCAGGGAAGGGAAGGAGGAACAACAACTCCAAAGGTCAGCAGCATCACTTGGCAGGCAATGGTGGCGGAGGCAAGCGTAAAGCAGATGGTACACATGGACTTTGTGGCTAATACCAACGCGCAGGACAAGGGCCAGCGACGCAGGGGTAAACCGCCAAATTGCAGTGGGGCACCCAACCCTAACCCGGACCGCCTAAATTATCTACTGAGCCAGCCTTGTCCAAGACATGGGACGAAGGAGGTGCCAGCAAACCACCTTTGGAAGGATTGCTTCATTATGCAGGAGTTCAAGAATTCTAATGCCTTCCGGTATGATCACGGCTCTGGCGGTGGCTCAGGATCCGGGCCAGGTTACAGTGGAGGAAATTCTGGTTCAGGATTTAATGGTAATCCGGGCGGACATAATAATCAAAATAATTAGAACAACCAGGGTGGTTACAACCAGCAGCAGCAACAGTCAGGCTACCAGAGCAACCCAAAGCAGTTGAATAGTGGGCAGTACCATGTCTTCACCACTAGCTTGGACAAGCGAGACCAGAAGGTTCAGAGGCGGGCAGTCAATTCTGTTGAACCGGCCATGCCCCGTTATTTACGCTGGTCTGAACAGCCAATCATATGGAGCAGAGAGGATCACCCTCCCCAGGTTGATAATCCGGGTCAGTTGGCTCTGGTGGTGGCGCCTCAGGTGGGAGGTTACAAGTTCACCAAAGTGCTCATGGATGGAGGGAGCAGCATTAATATCTTGTACTATGAGACCTTCCGTCGTATGGGACTAACAGA